AGTGTTATTTAATGTTATTCAGGTGGTTCTTATTAACAGTGAAATTCTCCTGGCCATGGGCTGGGCCTTGAGCTTAGACCTGAGCACTGGCTTAGCCCTGGGGCACCTGGGGTGCTCAGTCTTGGCTGATTAAGTGGGTGAAGATTAAGTGTAAAAACCTGAGAACTGGAAAATCTTAACTTTTCTCCTTTACCTTTGGCTGTGACTGCTGCTGTGTTCCTTCCCCCCCACTCTTGCCTTGTGGCAGTGAAGCTGTGGTTTAAACCTGAAGAAGTTGGGCACTAGATGAGTCCTCAGCCTGCAGTGGCGAGGGGGATGATTGTCCTGCTGATCAGATGTGCTTTTGTCCCAGGGAAGTACGATAACTCAGTGGATGTTTACGCCTTTGGGATTCTCTTCTGGTACATCTGCTCGGGCCACGTGAAGTTACCAGAGGCTTTTGAGAGATGTGCAAGCAAAGATCACCTGTGGAACAACGTCAGGAGAGGTACAGAGGCTTGCTCTGGCTCCCCCCTCCTGTCAGGGAGTCACAGAGCCAGAAGGTCCCCCCTGAGCCTCCTTTTCTCCAGGCTGAGCCCCCCCAGCTCCCTCAGCTCTCCTGGTGCTCCAGACCCTTCCCCAGCCCCGTTCCCTTCCCTACACATGCTCCAGCCCCCCAATGTCCCTCCTGAACTGAGTGACCAGAACTGCACACAGGATTTGAGGTTCCAGCAGTGCCAGCACAGGGGGACAATCCCTGCCCTGCTCCTGCTGGACACTCTTCCTGATCCAGGCCAGGATGTTTTTGGGACACTCTAAAGAGTAACATTCACTCGTTCACCTTAGAGATTCCACTGAAAGTTGACCTAAAATGAGCAGGATAAAAAAGGGGCTTTTGGTTAAGCAGCTCTTCTCCATCACCACAGGAGCTGTGCCTGCACACCCTTAACCCACGGAGCAGCACAACCCTGGTGATGTAACCCAGCCCCCAGAGCCAGCCAGGCCTGATCCCCTGAGGAATGTTTAATCCCTTGCAGTTCCTGGAGGTTTCTGTACATCCAGCTGCTCCATGTGCAGCCTTGCTGAGGGAGCTGGGTGTGGAGAGGAGCACTGGGACAGGTGTTCCCCAAAATACAGACTCACTCCTGTGCCTGCCTGGGGGTTCAGTGAGTGCTGGGTTTTGCTGGCAGCCCAACCCTTCGTGCTGTGTCCTGGGATCAGGATGTTTTACCCTCATCCCTCAGTTCCTGTCCCTGCAAACTCTCCCCTTCTCATGTGAAAAAGATTAACTCAGATGAGTGAGTCTCCCATCTGGCCAGGAGGCTGCACTTGCTGCTCATTCCCACGTTGAACTGGCTCCCAAAGGCACTGGAATGTGCAGGTGGGTGGCTGGGGGGGGACCTGTTTCCTTAGAATTCATTTTGCTCCCAAATAGTTGCAGAGAGGAGGCTCCTGGTGAAACTAAATGTGCTGGGAGAGCTGGGGGGGGGTCAGCCTGGAGGAGAGAAGGCTCCAGGGAGACCTTAAAGCCTAAAAGGGGCTTAAAAAAGGAGGGAGAGGGACTTTTTGTGTGGGCAGAGGACAAGGGGCGATGGTTTTAAACTGCCAGAGGCCAGGGTTGGGTGGGATATTGGGGAGAAATTGTTCCCTGGGAGGGTGGGGAGGCCCTGGCTGTGGCTGCCCCATCCCTGGAAGTGTCCAAGGCCAGGCTGGATAAACTTGGAGCAAGCTGGGCTAGTGGGAGGTGTTCCTGCCTGTGGCAGGGGGTGGCACTGGGTGAACTTTAAGGTTCCTTTCCCACCCAAACCGGGCTGTGATTCCATGGCTCCATGTGCTGCCCGTCCTCTGGCAGTGCCCACGATCTGAGGAGCCTCGGTGATGCCTCAGCCACCTTTTCCTCCTCCAGGAGTGCGGCCGGAGCGCCTCCCGGTGTTCGACGAGGAGTGCTGGCAGCTGATGGAAGCCTGCTGGGATGGGGACTCCTCCCAGCGCCCTCTCCTGGGGATCGTCCAGCCCATGCTGCAGGGCATCATGGACAGGCTCTGCAAGTCCAGCTCCGAGCACCCCAATAAAGGCTTGGATGACTCGACCTGAGGAGGAGGCACAGAAGGATTTTGGAATTGTGGGGAGGGGGGGAATTCTACTTTCCCCCCCCGCCACCCAAACTCTGCAGGAGGCTTCTCCAGGCGGAGCTCTGTGCCCAGCCTGGGTGGCACAGGGACCAGCAGCCAGGAGATTGCTCGGAGAGGTGAGACCCTCGGGGCTGTTCCCACGCTGAGGAGCATCCAGAGCAATCCCAGTCCACCCCAGCGGTGCCAGCTTATCCCACTGCAGCTTCCACCGTGGAATTGTGCGAACGAGGCAGAGAAAAAAACCCCACGCCCTTGAACTCAAAAGGGAGTCATTATTTCCTTTTTTTTTTTTTTTCCCCCCCTCTTTGCCAATCCCACACCACCAAGCCAGCCAAGCAGAGCGCTGTGTGTGTGTGTTTGTGTTTGTCTGTGTGCCCACTAAAGGAAAAAAGCTATTCCAGTGGACTGTGGGGGCCACACGGATCCATCCCAGCCTCTCGTCGCTGGCACTGATTCCAGAGTGCTTGGAGAGGAAGGAGAAAGCAAAAAAAAACAAACAAAATCTAGGCTAGAAGTGTTTTAGAAGCATCTGTAGGAGTTTCTGCAACACTTGAGATGTTTACATTGACAGGAGCAAAGCTTCCATGTTTTACTAGGGGGGATCTGCAGCTCCCCTGCACACCTTTATAAGCTATTTATCCTTGATGTGCCCTTCACCTCTGACTCCTGTTACAAGAAAAAAAAAGGAGAAAAAAAAAAAAGCTCTTTTTTTTTTTTTCTGGTCATTTAAATGCTTCTTACTGCCCTTTCTTTCCCAGCCTTCCTGTGAAACGTAGGAGTGCTCAGAGGTTACATCTTGCAGTGCTGCACCAAAGCCATCCCACCCCAGGGCTGCCCAGGGGGGAAGAATTGCCAAGTCATTTTAATTAAAAACTGGGGAGGGGGGTGTGGCTCAATTAGCAGGAAAGGTGTAATGACAGTTTTAAACTGTGCCAACTCTGCCACCTTTTTAAAACTGAGGTTTCTTCAGCTTTTTTTTTTCTTTTTTTTTTTTTTTTTAAGTGGGGGGTGTGATTGGAGAAAAAAAAAACCAAAACAACAACTAAAAAAACCCCACCAGGTCCTTCCTTTTCCAACAGCTCCATCTGCCCAGCTGGGCTTTCCCTCTGGGGCTGTTCCAGCTGCTGCTCTGCCTGGGGCACAGCCTGAACAAATCTGCAGCCTGGGGCATGGGTTTGGGTTGACCCTCCCTTTCTCTGTGCAATAAATGAGTTCCTGTGCTTTTTTTATAGAGAAAAAAAAAAAAAGACATTTTTTTCTTCTATTTTTTTTCTTTCCCCCTTTTTTTGGTGTTTTTTTTTTGGTGTTTTCTTTTTGTTTTTTTACTTTTGTGCACCTTGTGGGCATTTCGTGGGCTGTGCTGGCATTCCCAAGGGGATTTTGGGGTGGAGACAAGCTGTGTGCTGGAATTCCAGGGAGGTTCTGTGCAGGTCCAAATGTCTGTGCTGGAATTTCAGGGTGGGTTTGTGTGGATCCAGCCCCTCTGCTGGAATTCCAGGGAGGTTCTGTGCAGACCCAGCTGCTCCAGCTGGCAGTGCCAAGCACTACACTACTTTTCCAAAGGAGAATTCCCGTTTCCCAGGGCACTCCCAGGCCCCCACTAACAGTATTAACCCTGGGCCTGGGGCTCCTAAACCTGATTGAAACCCGGGGAGGGTCGAGCTCAGTCCTTGCAAGGACTGGGGAGGGGGGGGGGTTGGTGTAAATAATAAAAGTATGAATAAAACTGCAATCTCTGTATCTGCAATTCCAGAAATGTCGTGTAGAGCTTTTCCTGACGCTTCCCTGATGCCTTTTTAGGGTTGGTTGGTGCTTCCTTGATCTCTTTTTTTTTTTTTTTTTTTTTTTTTCCCCCATTTTTGGGAGGTTTGGGGATGTGGGAGGTTGGAGATCTGCAGGTTTTCCCAAACTCAGTGCAGCTCCTTCTGTGCATTGTTATTATTTTCTCTTGTTCTGAGAGATTTCATCTCTAAAAGGAGCATTTTCCCCCGTTAGAGCAAGAAAATCAAGGATAATTACTGGAATCAATCAATTCAAAGGAGAAGTGATACCGACCCCCTCTGCCTGGGCCTTGTGCAGTGAGCTGAGCTGAGCTCTCCTCCCAGAGCCTTTATTTGCACCATTTTAGTGTTATAATGTTAAAAACTATTTAAACTCTCTCCCTGGGCAGTGCCAAAGCCGTGCCCAGGTCCATGGACACGCAGCAGGGGCTGCTGCTGCAGCGCTGGGATCGTGGCTACTCCAGGCATTTCACCTTAGAAGGAGTGGCACAAAGAGCTGGGGTTTATTTTGATTTATTTGATTATTTCTCCTAAATCGGACGCCCCTTCCCTCCCTGCGCCTCCCACCCTGGGAGCGCCCCGGGCTGGGCGGGGCTCGGAGCAACCTGGGCGGAGTCCCTGCCCGTGGCAGGGGATGGATGAGCTTTGGGGTGCCTTCCAACCCAGACCATCCCAGCGTTCCGTGACTGATTGATTTGTTTATTTATTTATTTATTTTACGCTGTTTAATTTTCCATTCGCTGGAGCCGCTCCCGCCCGGCCCGGAACCCTCGTGCGCGGCCGCGGCGCCCGCCCGGCCCCTCCTCACGGCGCTCGGGGCTGCCCGCGGCGCTGCCTGATCCCGGGAGCCGTTCCCGGAGCCGATCCCGGTGCCATTCCCGGCGCCGCCGGAGCCAGCGGGGCCGGGCCGGGAGCGCGCGGGAGGGGCGGGCCGGGAGGGGCGGGCCGGGCCGGGCGGCACCGGCAACGCGGCGGGGCCGGGGAGGGCACCGGGCGGGAGGAGCGGCGCGGGGGAGGACCCAGGAGGGGTCCTTCGGAGACGGGAGCGGAGGGAGCGGAGGGAGCGGGACGGGGACGGCGGCGAAATGAACCTGGAATTGTTGGGTGGGAACGGGAATGAACCTGGAATTGTTGGGTGGGAACGGGAATGAACCTGGAATTGTTGGGTGGGAACGGGAACGAACCTGGAATTGTTGGGTGGGAACGGGAATGGGAATGAACCTGGAATTGTTGGGTGGGAACAGGAATGAACCTGGAATTGTTGGGTGGGAACAGGAATGAACCTGGAATTGTTGGGTGGGAACGGGAATGAACCTGGAATTGTTGGGTGGGAACGGGAATGAACCTGGAATTGTTGGGTGGGAACGGGAATGGACCTGGAATTGTTGGGTGGGAATGGGAATGAACCTGGAATTGTTGGGTGGGAACAGGAATGAACCTGGAATTGTTGGGTGGGAACGGGAATGAACCTGGAATTGTTGGGTGGGAACGGAATGGAATGAACCTGGAATTGTTGGGTGGGAACGGGAATGAACCTGGAATTGTTGGGTGGGAACGGGAATGAACCTGGAATTGTTGGGTGGGAACGGGAATGAACCTGGAATTGTTGGGTGGGAACGGGAATGGGAATGAACCTGGAATTGTTGGGTGGGAACGGGAATGAACCTGGAATTGTTGGGTGGGAACGGGAATGAACCTGGAATTGTTGGGTGGGAACGGGAATGAACCTGGAATTGTTGGGTGGGAACGGGAATGAACCTGGAATTGTTGGGTGGGAACGGGAATGGACCTGGAATTGTTGGGTGGGAATGGGAATGAACCTGGAATTGTTGGGTGGGAACGGGAATGGACCTGGAATTGTTGGGTGGGAACGGGAATGAACCTGGAATTGTTGGGTGGGAACGGGAATGAACCTGGAATTGTTGGGTGGGAATGAACCTGGAATTGTTGGGTGGGAACGGGAATGGACCTGGAATTGTTGGGTGGGAACGGGAATGGGACATGAATCTGGAATTGTTGGGTGGGGATGGGAATGGGAATGAACCTGGAATTGTTGGGTGGGAACGGGAATGAACCTGGAATTGTTGGGTGGGAACGGGAATGGACCTGGAATTGTTGGGTGGGAACGGGAATGGACCTGGAATTGTTGGGTGGGAACGGGAATGGGAATGGACCTGGAATTGTTGGGTGGGAACGGGAATGGACCTGGAATTGTTGGGTGGGAACGGGAATGGGAATGGGACATTAATCTGGAATTGTTGGGTGGGGATGGGAATGGGGCATGAACCTGGAACGTGCTGGAATGGGGATGGGGATGGGAACAGGGACCGGGAACTGCTGGGATGGGAATGGAACGTGAACCTGGAACTGCTGGGTGGGAACGGGGATGGGACATGAACCTGGAATTGCTGGGTGGGAATGGAGTGGGAATGGGGATGGGGATGGGAAGGGGTGGCAGTGGCTCCATCCGCGGGGGGATGGCTGGGGCTGCAGAACCCCCTCCCTCCCTCCCTGCCTCCCTCACCGCTGCATTTCTCCCCCCCAGAGTCCTTTGGCCAGAACTACCCCGAGGTAAACGCGTCCCCCGCATCCCCCCCGGCCCGGCGCTCTCTGCGAGCGGCCCGAGGGGGTGGCAGCGTTTCCTGACCCGGCCCCGGCCCTGCTCTGCTCTGCTCCATCCCCCAGGAGGCAGACGGGACCCTGGACTGCATCAGCATGGCCCTGACCTGCACCTTCAACCGCTGGGGCACCCTGCTCGCCGTGGGCTGCAACGACGGCAGGATCGTCATCTGGGACTTCCTCACCAGGGGCATCGCCAAGATCATCAGCGCCCACATCCACCCCGTGTGCTCCCTCTGGTCAGGGAATCCCGCCTGCCTGGGAATTCGGGGCGTGCCTGCTGCTCCAGGGAGGGAGGAGAGCTGGGCTGGGAGGTTGGGCTGGGGCGGGGAAGGCTCCGGGATGGCCCGAGAGGGGAAGGCGTGGAGTTCCAAAGGGGATCGTCCCAAAGGTGTCTGTGTCAATGCATGCAGTGTGGGATGTAAACAGGGTTAAAATCCGGCTTTTCCAGGGCCTAAAGGGGCTCCAGGAGAGTGGAGAGGGGTTTGGAAAAGGGCTGGAGGGACAGGGCAAGGGGGAATGGCTTCCTGTTGGCAGAGGGCAGGGTTAGGTGGGATATTGGGAAGGAATTTTTCCCTGGAGGGTGTGTGGGGACTGGAATAGATTTCCCAGAGAAGCTGTGGCTGCCCCATCCCTGGAAGTGCCCAAGGCCAGGTTGGGGCAACCTGGGCTGGTGGAAGGGGGTGGAACTTGAAGATGATCTTCCAGGTCCCTTCCCAAGCCAAAGCACTGTGTGATTCCATGCTTTTTGTTGGATCTTGCCTGTGTTTGCTGAGCACCAGCTGCTCTGGAGCGCCCTGACCCCCTGGGTGTGGTGGGTGCTGCAGCCCCTGTGACACCCTGGGGCACTTCAGGGCATTTCCCTCTGGGAGAGTTTGGAAATGCATTTATGGTTATTTTCCCAGCTCTCAGGTTTATCCCTGAGGCTGCCAGATTTAATCTCTGTGTGTGTGTGTGTGTGTTTAAGCTCTGAGGAGCAACTTTAACCGGCCCTGCCTCTCCCTGTGCTGCAGCTGGAGCCGGGACGGGCACAAACTGGTCAGTGCCTCCACCGACAACATCGTGTCCCAGTGGGATGTGCTGTCAGGGGACTGTGACCAGAGGTTCCGCTTCCCCTCGCCCATCCTCAAGGTCCAGTACCACCCCCGGGACCAGTAAGTGCTCTGGGACGAGGGCTGGCTGCTCCCACGGGGCAGGATTCCCACGGGATCCGGGATTCTTCCGGTTCCGTGACGCGCAAAGGGGTTGTCCCAAACCTAATCCGCGATTTTTGGTGCGCTGGTTTGGGATTAGGAACTGCCCTGGGGAGTTGTTTTGGGGCTCTCTTTGTTGTGGAAATGTCAGCTCTGTTTATTATGGGAGTATCATGGAAGGAGGGCAGGAAACAAGGGAATGATTCCTGGGAACGTGTACAAATGTCTCACTGAGTTTAGAAGTCATGAAACTTGGAGGAACTTCCAGAGAAAGAAAGGAAATTAAAGCAGGCACAAACTTAGTGTCATTTTGCCTACTGAAGTAACAAAGGCAAGATAATAAAAATACAGGGATATTCTGTATTTCTTGATAGAGAATGGATTTTTTTTTTGATTCTAAACGTGGAAATCCCTTTCCAGAGGAGGAACCACCAACTCCTCCCGCTCTGCTTTGCAGGAACAGGGTGCTGGTGTGCCCCATGAAGTCAGCACCAGTGATGCTCACACTGTCAGACTCCAAACACGTGGTCCTGCCCGTGGATGATGACTCTGATCTCAACGTGGTGGCCTCCTTTGACAGGAGAGGGGAATACATTTACACTGGGAATGCCAAGGGCAAGGTGAGGCTCCAGCAGGGAGCTTCCAGTGCTTCCTGTCTTCATCAAGGTGCTGAACCTTTCTGGGGTGTTTTCTCCCGTTTCAATGTGCAAACAAAGCTCCCTGAATGTCTCTGGAATTGTTGATGTGATCTGAATGAAGCACCACATTTATCTTTGGGGATCTCTAGACTGTAAATTCCCTGACAGGAGGAGGGAGCCAGGGGGGGGGGATTGGGCTCTGCTCCCAGGGAACAGGGACAGGAGGAGAGGGAACGGCCTCAGGCTGTGCCAGGGCAGGGTCAGGTTGGACATCAGGAGGAATTCCCCCATGGAAAGGGTGGTCAGGCACTGGAAGGGGCTGCCCAGGGAGGTTTGGAGTCCCCACCCCTGGAGGTGTCCGAGGAAGGACTGGATGTGGCACTCAGTGCTCTGGGTCACTGAGGGTTCTGTTGGCAGTGTCAGGGACTGATGTGAAAGGCACCAGGAGGGAAATGAGCTCCAATGAAGACAACTGATTGCTCTCTGTCTGCTTGATCTTCAGATCTTGGTCTTAAAAACAGACACTCAGGATCTTGTTGCTTCCTTCAGAGTGACCACTGGGACCAGCAACACCACAGCGATCAAATCCATCGAGTTCGCCCGGAAGGGCAGGTGAGTGGCTGAGCTGTCCTTCGGGGGGATTGAATGCTCTAGTGGGGGTTGGCAGAGCCTTCAGAACCCCTCCTCCCCCCCAGAATTTTTTGTATTCCTTTTGTCTTTTAACGCTCTGTGCCCTCCTCCCTGCAGCTGCTTCCTGATCAACACGGCCGACCGGATCATCCGGGTGTACGACGGCCGGGAGATCCTGACGTGTGGGAGGGACGGGGAGCCCGAGCCCATGCAGAAACTGCAGGACCTGGTCAACAGGTGAGAGGCTCTGGGATGGCTGCTCAGCCCCACTGGGTGGTCAGGCACTGGACAGGCTCCCCAGGGCAGTGGGCACGGCCCCAAAACCTGCCAGAGCTCAAGGAGCGCTTGGACAATGCTCTCAGGGACAGGGGGGGATTCTGGGGTCATTCAGGGCCAGGAGTTGGACTCCTGATCCCTGTGGGTCCCTTCCCACTCAGGATGTTCCATGAATCTGTGAACAGGTGTGCTCAGAGCCCCCCAGCCTGTGGCTGAAGGGTGACTCAGTCTCTCACCCCGTGTGAGGACAAATGTTCTTGTTTCAAACCCGCCTGGCACAACTTGACGTCTAAATAACTATTTGAGGGTGGGAGTGCGTGGAGATCTCAGTCAGGAGATCAAACCCACTTCACCATCCCTCCACCCTGGGCTGGGGTTGAACCTGTGCTGCTCCCTGTGCTCCCAGGACACCCTGGAAGAAGTGCTGTTTCTCTGGGGATGGGGAGTACATCGTGGCAGGATCAGCTCGGCAGCACGCCCTGTACATCTGGGAGAAGAGCATTGGCAACCTGGTGAAGATCCTCCACGGGACCAGAGGAGAGCTGCTCTTGGATGTAGCAGTAAGAAAGCTGCCCTTAACATTTCCTGTTGTTTTGCAAACTTAATCCTTCTAAATGAAAGCTTCATGAAGTTTCTCCTCCCTTCTCTTCCAAATAAACCCAGTGGCATCCTGTGCGACCCATCATCGCTTCCATTTCCAGTGGGGTGGTGTCAATATGGGCTCAGAACCAAGTGGTGAGTGTTTGGATCCTTCCCTTGGGATCAGGCCCTGGCACAGGTTGCCCAGAGAAGCTGTGGCTGCCCCTGGATCCCTGGGAGTGTCCAAGGCCAGGTTGGACAGGGCTTGGAGCAACCTGGGCTGGTGGAAGGTGTCCCTGCCCATGGCAGGGGTGGCACTGGATGGACTTTAAGGTCCTTTCCAACCCAAACCATTCCCTGATTTCCCAGTGGTCTCCATCCAACCCTTTATTAAATCCCAATTCCTCTCTCTGTGTGAGTAAAACTGGCTTTGGATTTGTGCCTTAGGAAAACTGGAGTGCCTTTGCCCCTGACTTCAAAGAGCTGGATGAGAACGTGGAATACGAGGAGAGAGAGTCAGAGTTTGACATTGAGGATGAAGATAAGAGTGAGCCAGAGCAGACAGGTACTGCTCAAACTGGTTCTGGGGGGAAAATACTCCTTACTCTGTCTGGGTGGCCACTGGAGTCGATGTCAGCACAGCCACCACTTGGTGGTGCCCAAAATTCGTGGAAGAAGATCATGGAATGTGGAAGGCCTGTGTTAAACTGTGGAAATAAGGATTATTCCCAGCACACCACCCAGCTCTCCTCACCCCCAGCCTTTGCTGCACTTCTCATATTTAAATTAATTGTTGTTTAGCAGTTTCTGTGTTCACTCTTAAAATTGACTTGTGGGAATTGGGCATTAATTTGATTTAATCAACAGTCAAGAACCAGTTTAGTGAGAACAACAAAACACTGTGTAGGTTTTAAATCCTGTCCCTGTTGCAGGTGGGTTACAGCAATAGCTCTGTATTAGAACAGAGGGAAATA